GTAGGAGGATAAGAAGTAGTAGTAGGAGGAGTTGTAGGACTGTTGGAGCAGGGGGAGGGTGGAAGGAGGACAAAGACCAGGAGGAGGAGGAGGACTAGTACAAGGAACAAGGTAATTTATTTAGTCATTATACAACACAAGCTTGAAGAAATGTTATGTCCATTCATGCTACACACAAAGAACATAACAGATAATTAAGTTAGTATAACAAGAAATACAATAAAATAATATATACATTTATTTATACACATATATAGACCCAGGAAATTAGGGAATGTAAACAGCAACAAGATAGTGATGATAATATCCACCCATCAAGTGCTTGATCCGGGATGTTGATGGAGCAGGTTTCTGTAAAGATGTGGGCACAACAGTCTCTGATTTCCCATTTGACAAAATAGCCAGGAGCAGCCTTAAGTCCAAGCTGGGCTAGAAAATATTGAAAAATATCATATTGCGATATTTTGTTTTATGATATTTTATCAATTCTCAAAAGCACCCGATCGATTTTTGTGTAGAAACCCGCAGTCACTGGATAGCAGTGTTGTAAATGTAAACTAAGGGCTATGATGTTGCAGTGTATGCACTGTTCTATGGTTGCAAAAACACTTTTTAAAGCTGAGATTTTATGCATATCATGGTGTGTTCTTAATACTCAGTTTTGACAAAAACATCACCTCCAGCTTCTGGATGCACAGCTGTTGCCACAGTCAATATATCCTGGTCCAGTGGATTTGAACAATTCTGGTTTGCAAATCAAACTCAAAAAGACACTATTCAATAATGTTTCTGCAATAAAGCATAAAAAATACACATTAAACAAAAGTTTAGCAAGTTTGACTGGCCGCTGCATCTGCAGTCAGAAAAATACTAGGTAATTAAAGGGAAGGAGAAGGAGGAGAACTAGTAATAGTACGTGTAATGGTGGAGGTAGTAGTAGATATAAGTAAAGGTAGTTGTAGATATAGTAGGAGTAATAAAGTACTGTTGATAAAAGAAGTGGTTGGCCTGGCTTTATAAGAATAAAACATGATAGTGATTGTTATTTATATAGTTTAATATTGAATCTCTCAGATGTTGCATGTGAATGTGTTAAGGGCCTCTTATAGGCAATCAGTGGCAGTATTGATCCATACTCCTCCAACCCCCCACCCCCACAACACACACACACGCACACACACTGACACTTCCTTCATCTCCTCCCTTACTCCATCTCCCTCCTCCTTCATCTCTTTCTTCCTGTGTTCCTCCAGTGGCAGACTGAGCTGTAAAAATCAATGGGGAAAATGTCCTGGAACAGCAGATCTAGAAGCCATCTGGCCCTTGTTGTCCTCAGAGACCTGCAGTATGTCCCCCAGGGACTAGACACACAGAGAAGAAGCCGAGAGAAAGAGCGAGAAGAAGCCCAAGCACACAACAACACAAAGCAAGTGTTAACTCAATGACACATACATCAGTGTGGGCTACACATCGTGTGGCTGTTACATAAGAGACAAATAGGTGGATGCATACATAAGATAAACAGACTACTGTCAACACTTGTTTTAAGCTTATTTCAAGAACATTTGGTCCTTCAGTCATCTGTGTGTGATATGCAGCAACTTAATTTACCATTTCACAACTTCTTCTTTTGCATATGTAGTCAGACCAGAACTTAGATTCCCTTAACCTTTAATGAACTTGGACTGCAGGTGGAGATGTTTTAATGTCTCTCAGGTGACATTTTGACCTTTAATAACACCACCTCCATCAGTAGTCAAGGCTTTCTGTTCAATGCACAACAACCACTATCCAGGTTTCTTGTCAAAATTAGACCATTGTTGTCTGGGACATCACATTTGAGTTTCAAATTTTGACCTTTTAATATTGCATCCTCGTTAACGAATTAATGTCATTTGTAAGCGTAGCTGGATGTGTCTGTGTCGGTCACACTAATAGTGTCAGGGGTGGAGGCAGGTTTCAGGAAATGAGGTGTGATCACACAGAGCAGAAACTTACTGATGACTTAGCTATAAAACTGCAGTATAAAGTGTACTGAGAACAAAAGAAGAAACAAAAACAAAAAGGAAAGAAAGTAAAAAATGAATGAAAGCTAAAGTAAAGAGAAAGATAAGAGAAAAGAAGAATATGGCAAGAGGTGAAGTAGAGGAGAAAGAAGAAGAAAATTAGTAAAGATAGGAATAGAGTAAGAAGAAGAAAGTGTGTGAGCAGCAGAGAAGCTACAGACTCGATCCTCTTGCAAGAATCTACTAAAACTGGTTTAATACAACTCAGCAGCCCATCAAACGTTTAGAGAGCCTGTTGGAAATTATTCCTGACATCTGATCCTTTAAAAGGGTTTATGATTCTCTATAACAAACCAGAGTAACCATCCTGTCTGTCTGGCTGTCTGTCCTCTGGGTTCAGTCAGTCAAGCTCAATGATCATTATGTTCATATCAGGCTGAGCACTGATGCATCATATTAGTGACCAATAAACAGGCAATACGGAAACATCTAAACTAACAGTCATTCAGGGCATTATTGAAGGCTGGTTTTCTTTTAGACACTACATTTGCAGAACATATCTGAACCTCTAAACTATCAGAAGCGTAAATTGTGTATTGAGTTTGTCCCCAAACATCAAACCAAAGATCTTAAAAACAGAAAACTGGGTGAGATTACTTCAAACTGTTTCCAGTACAAATCATTTTATTTCAAGACATTTTATTCTACAAAACAAATAGCAATTTGTTTGGGAAAGAAGTGACATTTTTAGGACTTAACTTTTTAAGTGGTGTATGAGGATGTAAAATTAGGTTCAAGCTCGTTTTATGATAGGGCTGTAACAGTGTGTGTATTCAGCCGGATTTTTTTGGAATCAGTCCAGACACATGACACCCGTGAACCAAATAATTACTGCTGAATAAGCCTCATACAACTGGTGTTTACCATGTGCTAATTCTAAAGTTGAAGTTTCACTTGGAAAGCTTTGGGTCCGTTGTTGTCCGTTATGTTGACCTAGGGCTGGGTACCGAACCAAGCTGCTTATATACACAGACAACTATGTTAACTTTGTGCTGCTTGCAGCTAACCTGTATCTGCTCGTCTGTGAGCCTGTTTACCTCATCGCATCCTCTCAGAGTGTTACAGACGACATGGTGTTTGCTTACAGACCAACAGGTAAAAGGAGAGAAACATACCAAAGCTGATGACAGTGGATTGTTCTCAGACCCAAAGTAGCTGGTCTCTGGCAATGACACATTAGGAGGTCTTACTCTTCCACTATTTCCCAGTAACATAAATGTCCCCCACACAGTCATTCCCTTCTTCTTCTTCTTTGGGTTAGAGTAGACATATTGCTGCCATACTGTGTATTAATATTCCTTTGACAGTCCTTTATAGTTTTCAATTAGTCCAATTCCTAGTCCAGTCCTATTTATATATTCAGTTTTATTTGATCATTTTAGTCCAATTATCTAGGTTAAGTAAAGTTCACAGAGAAAAGGTTTTCCAACTGCTGCTCCGAGGTCTGTGAACAGCTTCCTCATTAGTAATTGTACTGTAATGTATAGTGTTCATTTTATGAAATTAGTATCGTTAGTTAACCGGTATCGAAGTCAAGGTATTGGTAGCTAAATCATGCAAGTTTGGTGCACCATGTCTGAACAATGAGTGGCGGATTAGCAAGAACTGTGTGGTCACTTTTGACTGTACCTGCAACAGTCAAACTCTTACAACAGTTACACTCATCCAAGTGTGTTACACAACTGGCAGGTAGCAGCAGACAGTGAGTTGTTCCATACACATGTGTACATATACACTATATAACTGAATGTGGAACTGGACTCCCATTCTGTTTGCAGGTTAGAGGCTTTTGTAATAATGAAGGAGCATTTTTTTTTTCTTATTCACCACATCACTATGTTGAGTGTCTCACTGCACAACAATAATTATGGTCACTGAGTCACTATCTAATTTTAAACTTCTCACAATAAATGACAAAACATAATCTGAGTCTCTGTAAGTCTCAAAAACCTATCTAACAACTCTTTGGCTACTACACACATGCAATGCAAATGATCTTGTTTAGAGTATGAGGTGCGTTCTAAAATCTCAGTCTGACGGCTGTTACTGTTCACACAGTGTCATAACTTCATTATTATTATATTTTTTATAATAATAATAATAGTGCACTGTCATCATTATTATGGTGGAATGTAACTAATGACTTGAACTTATAATTAGGTATTTTTGCAGTGTGCTTTGCTACTTTTTTAAGTATCTGAACTCTTCTTTCACCAATGATCATTAGTACATGATAGCCACTTTGTTAGTTTATAAGGCAACATTTGGCACGTGTACATTAATTGTGTGTCAGCACGAAAAAGGAAATGGATGCGGATTTATTTGTGCTCCAAAAATGGCCAAAAGGGGGATAGACTCTGGTAAACTGAACAGGTGGGAGGATTGTGCTGAGCTCTTCCCTCCACTGCGTCCCTGCTCTCCGCACAGACATCACCACATGCAAACCACATGGAGGAGTCTCTGCGGTGAAGCTGTCACACCTTAGAAAAACAACACAGCATCTTATCTCAAGCATCACTGCTGCTGCTTCTAACGCTCAGCTGCTTCTTTCTGCGCGTTCATACGACTGTTTACGCGTTTTAGTCACTATTTCCTCAGCAGCAGCGCTCCTGGTTTCCCTCCTCTCTGCCTGTGCAGCCTGTAATGACTGAGAGAGGAATGCTGCTGGTTTTATATAGGCCTCTAAAAATAACTCACCCCCTCACTGCCATCTAGGGCCGGACTGACAGCCTCCTGCAGCCAATAGCGCCTCTGCATCCCCGATAGCTCCGCCCGCTCCCTCAGTCTCAGCGCCTCCTTAATTGGACGTCAGTGACATCATCAACCCTATTTACCTTATTAGGTCACGCATGAAATTGAGTGACAGGTGGCTCCTCCTCCTGCCTCCCTCCCCTCTCGCACCGGTCGCCTGGCTTGCAGCGGGGTCCAGTCTGCTGCTGGAGGAGCAAACCTGGCAACCTGGCAGCGTGTACGGAGACCGCTTGGCAATCTGGCAATGCGGAAATAGATCTGGCACCCCCGAGTCCGGACTGAGGAGAGAGGCGTGACAGAGCGAGCAGAGAGGAGAGGGGATTGCTTTGACAAAGATAAAATAATCAACTCTTTCTTTCCTGTGAGCTGTTTTTTCTTTTTTAATTAAAGTGCTCAGGTGCGCTCATCTGCACCAGCTGGGATTTTTCTTTCTCCAGCATTTGTTTCTTAATTTGACAAGTCTGAGAGGAGCAAAGAAGAAGTGCGTTTTTAATCGTTTGGATTCCGGACTTCTTTACTGAGTTTTCCTTTTTTTGCATCAAGCATGGATGTGCTGGCGAATTACAGCATTTTCCAGGAACTCCAACTCGTTCATGACACTGGTTATTTCTCTGCGATGCCTTCCCTGGAGGAGAACTGGCAGCAGGTCAGAGATGATGCGTTTTCTCTTCTTTTCCGGGGAATTTGGAGGGGTTAGAAACTGTGGTGAAATATCATGTGTGCGCTGGTTGCTGTTTTCTGCGTGTGTTTGTAGTGTTTTTCATCACTAGAGCGCTCCGGAGCGGCAGCAGCGGCCCCGTGTAGTTGCGTCTTTTTTTTTTTCTTTTTTTTTTTCGCTCACATGGAGCACGGCGAGGTCCGATGACAGGAGAAAACACACACACACACACACACACACTCACGGGGGAAGTAGGGTGAGAAGGGGGAGGATACAAACAGAGCTTTACGCACTAATGGCACTAATGGAAAAACTGCATTTTAAAATGCGTAAAAACATTCGGACCATCTTTACATTTAGGCACACGCCCCTTACTGAACGAATGCCGCCTTAAATGTCCCTTAAACACACTTAAGGGTTAATTAAAGCCCTTAATCAGTACTGTAAAAGCTGGAGCATGGCGCTGTTGTCCTGTGAAATCCCCCGTGATAGTGATATAGATTTTGACTGAAAGCTTTTAAATGCAGCTGAAAAAAACTCAAAACGCAGGTGCTGAAAATGTAGCTTGTCCTTAAAGACCGACGTTTTGGAGATAAGAGGTTTTCACTTTGGTCTGTTAAAGGATCATCTTCAGCTGTTTCGCCAATGACTTATCCCATGCATATTTCCTTTATAGGTAATGCTGTTGGATACAACTCTAACATGCAGATGGTCTGAAAAGGCTGTTTTTCACACAGCTTTCCTTTAAACTTGGAGATATGAGGGTTTTTGCCAGGCACAGATAGAGCAACATTTAGGGCTCCTCTTTATCTGATGAGAATCAGATTCAGCAGTTTTACCCCTTTAAGTTACTTATCTGGAGCACATTTGTCCTTAATTTGAATATGAAAAGTTTAAGTGGGTTGTAGGGTTTAAAAACCATTGAGTTGAACGTTTGTTTTTTTTGTCCTGTTATATTGAATGGAGGAAACTTCATTATGTTACTGTATTTAATAGACAGTTCAGACTCTGAATGAGCGCTGATTGAAGGAGAAAGCAGAGTGATTCTGCCTCTGATTTTCAGCCTGACCTGATGATGGACGATGCTGTTTTTAGTTTGACTGATCTGATCGATGGAGCAGTCTGTCACCCTGATATGTTTGGATTGTCACGCACACACACACACACAGGCCATGGAAGATGGACACATGCCTAATAGCTAGTGACTTCTCCTTAAATAATATATCCGCATCTGCCACTGTTTGTTTGCAGATAATCCTGCTGAATTATGCATTATCACCCACTATAGAACATTTACAAGACTCTGCATGGGAGCCCACAGACAGTCTTTATCTGAGATGTAAATCTTTACTGTATTTGTATTAAAATAGGTTAAAGGGAAATGATGGGGATTTTCTGTGTACCACAAGCTGTCTGTGGTCCATGGGGAGAAAAAACATTTTCTGTTTTCACAAATGGAGTAAAAGCTTTCAAAATCTGAGTGAGGATTTGAAATTATTTTAGATTGTATGATATATAGAAAATAATAAAAATATGATATATACGACATGTTTTACAATTTAAGGTGACAAATATTTTCCCTCAAGTTTCCGCCCTTGAACTTAAGAAATGGAAGCTGTTAATTGGAAGCCATCTTCAGCCTCATGTGTGAGTGTGTGCTGTAGTGTGTTGCCACTTGCTATTTAATGTTCGGCAAACCAATGCACCCATAGTCTTCCAAAGGGTCCCTGCATGGGACAACGTCTACTCAGATGGGTCAGCCCATTGTGTGTATTTCAAAGGGTCAGACCACGTGTGTGTTTAGGTAGTTGTGAATGAAGCCCAGACTGCCTTTCTCCTTGTGTCTTACTGACACAAATTCACGCTGCCTCGTCCTATTTTTAGTCCAAACAGCACATAGTTTCATCCCCTGTAACCCAATTTTTTCTGTCTGTAAGCATATTGTTAATTGATTGAGAGGTTTCACAGAGTTCCAGGTTTTGATGTCATGTCTCATTTTCCACAGAATGGCTGGAAAAGCTGTTTAAATTGGTGCCTAGAGACAAGAATGTAGACCTGGGGAAAAAGTAGTTCCAATTCATCTGGACTTGTATTTGCAGAAAACAGTTTCAGTCTAATACAAATACCGTAAAATGAGAGTAAACTGTAAGGTACCATTTAAAATTTGATGGCAATGCCGGTGTAACACCAGAGCTTTGGTATTTGCCCCAAAAGTGGATGATACCTGTTTTTGTGGGAGTGGCTAAAATGTCATGTGGACAATTAAACAAGTTTGTTGTTTACTTGGATCCCCATTTGTTGTCAACTCGGCACTGACTGTTGGCAATGAAAGGTAATTGGAAGCTATTGAAAGCCTTGAAGGGGCTTTTTTTGTGTGTGTGTGTGTTCTTATCAGTAATTAGATGCAGATGATAGATATCAGTTCCATCTCTGCAATTCCATTATAGAGACAGACAATTACAGACAATTAACACCAACTCTGGAGTTTCAATAAGCGTTTTAGCCTCTTTTAGGATGTAGTTTTGGTTGTATGGGACATTTACTGTGTGGTCCAGACTCAGCTGTTTTCAGCAAATAAGCAGTGATAACCCGCTGTACACACTACCTGCCCAACACCCTACCTGCCCAACACCCTAACCCTTACAGCAGACAGACACAGTTAGTGACTAGACGGTGAACAAAGTGGAGCATCCAGCAGATAAAGAAACAGATATTTTATTTTCAATTGGGCGATTCTTGGATGCATTGGTGGCTGTTGCCTGCTAGCTAACAAAATGCAACAGGAGAAGAAGACAAATTTCAAGATGAATTAAAAAGTTTTCCCCTTTTCTTGGTAGAAGCTAGCAGTTTCCTGCTGCTTAAAGTCCTGTGCTAAGCTAGGCTACAAAGAGCCTGGACCTGTCTCTGTATTGAACGCGCAGAGATGAAACTGATATCAATTTTCTCATCTGACACCAATTCTGACATCAAACCAACATCCAAAATGTTTTTTTAATGTTATTACTTTGTGAATATAACTCTTAAAAAAATCTCTCATACAAACTGAGTTTTCATACTCTCCAAAGAGAGCATTTTGTTAATATAAGCTCAGTTTTTCAGAGTGGAAAATGTTGCGTTATTATGGATAAAAGGCCAAAACGGAGAGGAAAATATGTGTTTTCAAAGTGTTTTATCAAAGAGGAGAGAGACAAACACACACTGGGACCAGGCACACCCACATTTTTTCCACTCTTGTTCCTTCTGTCTCCCTCTATCCCCTCATTCACTCCATCACACACACACACACACATGCTTAGCTGGCATGCACTAATGGAAAGCTATGGTCTGGCAGGACTCATCCCGCCACTTTCGACAGTAATTGGCCGTTTGCTGTCAGACGGACAGAGAAACACACATGCGCACACACACACACGCAAACAAACAACCAGATCTGTGTGTGTGTGTCATTTATCTTTCCTGTCTGTCCCTGCATCATGCTCCTGGTCTTTGTTTCCTTGTACAGGCTGCTTTTATCAGCTGCTTTGCATCATGGCTAAACATGTGGAAGACACACACAGTCTCTCTCTCCCCCTCTCTCTTTCTCTCTCTTTCTCTCCCGCCCTCGCCTGTCTATCAGCCTTGTTGCCTCTGACAGTACGAGCCCATGTTCTGCATATAATTGCTGCATCTTTGCAGGTTTGGAATGATGTGATGGGCTTTAGGGATTTGTGTGTGTGTGTGTGTGTGTGTGGGTGTGTGTGTGTGTGTGTGTGGTGTGTGTTGTTGTGTGAAGTGTCCAAGGATAAAATGGCTAAACCCAGACTCCGACAATTAGATGTGAATCCTATTTATATGGGGGAACATAGAGACAGTGAAAACAAAGGGTTGATGGAGGTTTGGGTTTGATTTGGTTGTTGTGAATACAGATCAGCATTTACAGACCCATACTACACATTAAATGGACACTGTGTGCAGGTGACCTGTCTCATTTAGAAGCCTAACAGTGCTTTAAACTGGCTCATTCTCTTACAGTCTCTTTCTCATCTTGTCTCTTAATTTACGTGCTCAGTGTGTCTGTAGTTCTTTTCGAGCTGATTGATTTATTTGCTGCGGTGTCGTTACAGCAGAGACCAACCAGCTCTGTGTTACTGATATACACTGTCTCCATTAGGCCTGGCAAGCCTGCAGCCTATACAGTCCTGCATCCTTCTCAAGAGTGCATTTTGTCACTATTGTACATACTGCAGTTTATGATGATGCAGATGTCCAATCCTCACTGAATCTCTGCAGAAGAAATGCTCACAAATCTCACCAACCACTGCTGTTTAAATCATCCAATTCAGAACCCCTGTTAAAAGCCCAAAACATTTTCCTCAAGAGGTGTGAACTGTGAAAGAAAATCCCATGTTCTTGTCAGGCAGAGCTTATTCTCAGGTTGTCTATCACCCCTACAATCTTCATCATTTCAAATCTCTGTTAACCATTTCTACCACTCTGCTGCACCTAAACTAAGCCAAAAACCACAATAACTCGGCCTAAGCATTATGCTTTTGGGGCTTGTTGGCAATGCTTCACTGCCTGGGAGGAAATACTGCCATATAAGTTGAATTCAGGTCAAAAAATTCCCTGAGGCTTTTTTAAAGGTCTTGTTTACTCTCACTGGTACTGCTTGTTTATTTTTTATTATTATCTCTGAATTCTTTAAAGGTCTGAGTTTTATCGCAATTAAAACAAGAAAAAAGAATCTGCTTGGACTGACATTCCTTGTTATTTCAACACCTGTTGGGATCTGTTTTGTGTATTCTATGGATTTTTGATTGTTACGTTTTGGCACCACCCCCAGCCACACCAATAGATGAGCTAAGATGTCAACTATAACAGATATAACATACTCATCAGGCTGAGTAGCTCTCATGTAGAGTGTCCATTGCTTTGCCCTCCTCCCTTCTCTTTTGTAACCTGTTAACCTACTGCGAGAACCATTGGATGAACTGGGTTTTCTCTCTCTC